GCGTGCGTCTCTTTCTCTAAACGCGCATGTGTGCGCTGGACGTGGCTGGAGGGCGCTGCTGTTGAATTCCGGGTGGTCCTGTTCTGGCCTTGCTCTCTAACCTCTCCATCAATGTGACACACATACGCGCGCGCACACATACACACACACAAACACAAGAAGTAGTTTTATTTTGAAAATCGGGGGTAAGCCTGCCGGTGCTTGGGAAAGGGACAAAGGTCAAATGGTAACACACAAGAAGAAGAAGCGCCTCCAACGTCATTCAAGAGCCACTATCAGCTGTTCTCCATTCATTCTCACCCACCAATCTTGCGGTGCAGAATATGCGGCATAACCAAATGACTGAGTCGAGTGCACAAAAGTGGCAAAGTGGAGTCACCCAACCATTAGCCGAAGTTGGGACCGGCTTGTCGATGGGAAACACGTTCAAGGGCTCCCACAAATTCCATTTACATTCGGCGTAATGCTGAGTTGTTTCGAGGCCGGTCCTTCGAAACAGCTCGTTTTGCAAATACCGTTGGGGAGCGCTGACCCAAAGCAGACATTCTCTTTGAAGAGCGCCAAAGAAACACAAACCAAGTTGAGGTTGTGCCATCGGGAACTTGGACAAATATTGAGTGAGTGTAGACGCAGACGTCGAAGGAGGACAAGAAGAAGGGGGAGAAAGAGAGAAGGAGAAGCAGCCTCCAAGGTTCAAGTTACGACCTCGAGCATCCATTAACCTTCCGCTAAATAAGAGCTGCCGGGATGCGACGCGCAAAAGCTGTCAGGCACCATGTGGATCGACTTTGGGACGCGACGGCCTCAATTCGATGTTATTTCCAACCGTGTCCCACAAGAACAACAATCAGCCTGTGTTTGGTTACGCAATGTTCGCCGCGTCCCAAACAAAACAAGTCACCACTGCCGTATGCACGTGATTGACAGAGGGGTTCGTCTCAGAAGGTTGATGAAGAGGAGACAGAAGAGCCCCGTTCCAGCAGCCCGGCCAAATCTGAAGGAGTGACTCATTCAAGACATTTATTGTTTTAGGATTCCTCTCATGACTCAAATGTCAAGTTCGACTTTCACTTCTGCAGCCACTCAAGTCATTTTAGAACACGCCACAACATTCTCTCCTCTCCAGATGTGCGAGCGGGGGGGAAAAAAAACAAAACAACAACAACGCCACACATTTGACTCAACTCTTACAAGCAAGCAGCTTCTTTGAAAAAAGAGCGGCTGAAGTCCTGGAAGCTGCCGTCTACCGAGTGGTTAATGTCTCACAAGTGAAAAGAAAAAAATGACATTTGCTAGCAGCTAAAGTCTTAAAAACTAGTGGCTAATGTCTTCAAACCTCGCAACTAATGTCTCGAAACCTAAAAAAGAAGAAAAAAAAAAAGAAAACAAATGATGGCTATCTTCACACTGAAGGTCAATTACCATTATTTTTTCTCATGTGAATGGGATCAATACAATTTAGATATTAGCCGCTAGGTTCGAACATCTCCCAACCTAGTGATTAAAGTTTTAGACTGAGACGAATGAGCAGGACTTGAAACTGGTGAACTTGGTAATCCAACACCCCAGAACATGGCCTCATCTGAAGATGCAGAGAGAGAGACAGATTCTTTCTCCAGTCCTTTGCTGTCAGTTTCTTGCTTTAGGAAGTTGGATGTTGCTCATTTTTGAATCGGGAAAGCTCAAAACCAGAAGCGCGCGTCAGAGCAGAAGAAGAAATTGCGGAAAAGGTCCTCCGCCTTCTTTCTTCCCAAAGAAAGCAAACACATCTGCGTCCATCTTACCTTGCAGCTGTTTGAAGCGACCTTCCAGCTGGTTGTAGTTGAAGGCCGCCTGGCCCGAGAAGCCGCCGCCCCCGCCGGGCCCCGGGCTAGACGCCCGCATGGGGCTCCGGCTGCGGCCGTGGGAAGGGCCGGGGACCCCCGAAGGAGAAGAAGGGGGAAGGGGCCCGGCGTAGTCCAACGTGGGGGACAGGGGAGCCGAGAAGGTACTGCTGGCGCTCTGGAGCTCCATGCTCAAAACAAACTTTTACGCCGGTTCTAGGCAAGCATCCACGAGAATTCAAAACAAAAAGGAATTAATTGAGAGAGGAGGGGGGGGAAAATAAAACAAATCTTCACGCTGAGTCGATCGAGTTCCAGATCAAGCCGAACGCTTCACGAGCTTCGGTCCATGTGTGAGCATCCATGTGTGCGCACGGCAGCGACAGCCTTCATTCAACTCGCCCGCTGCAAGGAAGAATGGCGACGAACGCAAGGAGAGCCACAGAAGGAGGGAGGAAAAGATGGAGGGAGCCTCAAGAAAGAAGCAAAGAAAGGAAGGAAGGAGGGGAGGAAGGCGTTTGTCCTCCAGCAAGGCGCTCGCTCGCTCACTGAAAAGCTCCAGACTGAAAACACCTCCGCAGGGGTGGGTGGTGGTGGGGGGGTTCTTTGGGAGCGGCCGCTCGGAGTTCCCAGCCAATCCCAAAGTGCCTCATTTGCATAAGAGGCGGATCCGAGGCAGAAAGGAGAAAAAAAACAAAGAAAAGGCACAACCTCACCTTTTAAAAAGATGACTTCTTCCCGTCACTTTTTCAAATATGTTTTAAAATAGACATTTTAAAACAGTTCAATTACAATGTTATTTATTTTATCATTCATATGACTCTTGATTCTTAAATATAATTTTGGAAAATTAAAATACATTTCAAATGATGTTACTCATATTAAATGTTTTTGTTATTGAAAATGTGGTTTTTCCGATATTAAAGGTAAAAATATTTTTAACAAAGAAAACGTTTGAAATGGTTTTTGCCTATTAAAATGCCACCTATATTTGTTGCAATTTGAAGCAACTTTGGATGACTGGCGCGCCCAAGTGTCATAACCTCCACCGAGGAGGAAACTGTTGACGAAAACAAGGCAAACAACCGGCTTTGTGTTAATGATAAGAATGGAAAGGATAGCAATGAAAATGATAAGAGCGTAAATGATAAGAACGTAAATGATAAGAGTGTTAATGATCAAACCGATACGTTAGACGTGAAAAAGTCGACATGGGCGTGATCAATGTGAAGCCGAGCGAGCAAGCGCAAAAGAGGAAGCGGCCGCCGGCCAGATGGACGGACGGACCTTTCCTCCCGACAGCCAGCCCGAGTCCAAACATCCTGACGACGTTTGGCCGCTAATCTTAGCGCTCCTGACTGACTTGTTTGTGTGCGCGCGCAAATCTTCTTCCTGTCTGAGCCGCTCCGCCACTTCCTGTTTGACGAGGTTGTGATTTAAAGCGTACAAACGGTAGACAATTGACTTTTTCATGGCAGCGTGGTTCAATTGCGGAGGCATTTGGCCAAGTCATGCGTCACACGGCTGCGCTCATTAACTTGAATGTGTTTCGGCATCGTGACGATCAAATGCTGCGCCCACAAGTGAAAACGTTCGCGAACGTCACTTCGCTTCCGTCCTCAGCAACTTGGTGACGAAACAAAGTCGATAATTGACAGACGTGCTGAGGGTGAAGTTCACCCGACTGAACGTCAGCGGGCTTTCAATCTGTCACGTTAGCGGTTAGCTCTCCAGAGGCTAGCAGCACAAAGTGACTGCTAACTTTTTAGCACCATCTTGCTTGTCGCTCAGTTTAGCTGAGACAAAATCTAAATAACACGACCTACAACACTTTATAGAAGCATGATGACTCGCGTAGCTTACATGTCTGATGTGTGTTAGCATTAACGCTAGCATGGTTAATGTGTTCTATAAAATGTGTCATATTTACTAACATGTTCATCAGCAAACTCTTTATGGCATTTTTAATGACATTTATGCATTGCTGATATGAGGAGTTTGTTTATTAGCATGGCCCCTAACGTATTTTAAGTGTATTCATCTTTATTAGCAAGTGCGCTAGAATTGCCAGAATGACTATGTTAGCAGGATCACTAGCAGGACTAACATAATGCAATTAGTCGCATCTGTTACCCTTACTGTGTATCCATTTCAAAAGTTCCGGTAGCATGGCATTTTTATTAGCATTTATATTTACTAAACAGAGCTAATATGACTTTTGCATAGTTGCTAGTGTGTTCAACCGCATTGTAATTTTATCTGTGGTTTTATTGTTCTTGTTCCTGATTGTAGAGTGTCCTCAAGTGTTTTGAAAGGCGCTTATGAATAAAATGTCTTATTATTATTATTATTGTAACTGCAGAAAGAGCATTTCTTAAGTTTCCACTCGCAGGTTCAGTCGCAGAGTTAACATGATGCGTTTAGGAAAGCCGAGATGCGCTCCAGAGGCCTGACGCACTCTATTACAAATGAAACTTTCGATTCCAGCCGTACTGCAAGCAGCGAACGTTAGCGATGACATATCCATGCACCCGTGTTTTGTTGCTGCTCTGAGAACTTTGTCAGTAGTTTGTCTGAGCTACTTAGCTTAGCAGTGGTGACCGCAACAATACGAGTCAAAGAGGGCGACGGGTGCCGAGGCGAAAGGTCAGAGAGCCGCGCAAACAGACAGCAGATGTTCGAAGAAGTCGGAAGAATGTGTTGGCCTGGCGCCGAGCGTCACGCCGCGTTTCCTGTCGTCATCCGGCTTCCTCGTGGCTCAGCCCCCTGGGGGCCACGCCGACCCAACGTGTCCATTCATACGCAGCGCAAGACTTGGAAATGATACTCGCCACATTTTTTTATACTGGTGCTGGAGATTTTTCATGTGTTTCCGCAACGGTGGTTCTCCAACTTTTCCTTACGTGACAGAAATTTGCTCATTATGTTCCACATGAAAAGCCGATGTTTGCAAACGATCTTATTTCCAAGCATTTGGGTTGAAATTCTGTCGGCAGTTTATCGATGATCAAAATAGTTGTTGATTCATTTGATAAGTGACCAGTTGTGGATTCATCAAATAATCGTTGCACCCCTATCGTAAATATCCCCCCCCCCTTCAAAAAAAGCAACTAGCGACAAGAAGTCCTCCTCTCAAACAGACGCTTCCAAATATTTGGCTGCGGTCGCCTCGCCTCAAGTGCGCAAAGCCTTCAAGCCGAATGGCGCTGGGGGGGGTTGCCGCATTCGTATTTGACAAAGAGAAACAAGGACCAGCCCAGCCTGTACTTTGATGACTCATTTTAGGATGTAAAATTGTTGAACGCAGATAAAACAGGACTGATAAAGTGCTTTTGATAGCAACACCATCATTTATTTACGAAGACCTGTGAGTGAATTTGAATACCAGTGGCTTTTTGACACTCCCCGAACTGCATTTTGACTTACGATTGCCGCGCACAATTTACACTCCTGTAGCTCCCACGTTACATCAAATCTACGCAAACTCTATTTGAGTGTCAGGTGCCTCAACCGGTACGACTTCTATCGAGTTGGCATTTGTCTCCTACATAGGTTGGGAGTCGCAGCCTCAACTTGACCTTCTACTCAAAAGCTGTGCAAGAGCGATGCAAATGTCAAACTTATAAATGTACGATCACCTTACGTTATCACATACAAAACACATGCGTGAAGAATTAGATTTCAAGTCAGAAGCCAGTAAATACTCCTTCGGTCAATTCCTTTTCAAATTGATTTTCAGGGAGCCATGGATTGGTCAGCCAAAATACTTGCAAGATCTCGGCCATGTTAAAAGGGAAGGCAATTTGCAAGACACATGAAGATGACACACAGAATTTGCCTTTGCGGGCCAACAAGCTGGGGCCAGACCTCCTTCCACACCTAACCGATGAAAAATGTACTTGGCGGTGGCAGAAAGCGCATCAATTCTGATTTAAATGTCAATGGGAATCAATGAGTTTATTTTTTTTCGGGCTCTGAAACCGAATCAAATCAAATTTGGCATTTATCAAAAAGAGAAATAATGGGAGCTTTGAACTGGGCTCGGCTAAAACCTTTCCAGCTGTGAGCCACTTTCAAGGCCAACGGCAGCCACATTTCCGACGGGCCTGCTGAATTTGACGCCAACATGCTAACCAACACTGCCCTGCTGCCCCCCCCAAACTCCACACATACACAAAGACATTCCTGTGTGGACACCAACAACAACTGCCGTCAGGAGAGACCCAGCAGCCACTTCCTGCCAAGGTGGTGAACTTCATGCCTCGCCTGCACTGAAAACTTGGGACAACTTCCTGTCGACACGCACGCACACTCGCGCGCACACAGGAAGTGGAACGGGCACTCTGCAGCCGCCTGTGTGGAATTGGCCCCGCTTGGTTTCCTTGGCGATGGCTGGTTTTGTGTGCGCGCACACACTTTTTAGCGACATCTCACCAGTGCAATCATTCAAATAAATCACAAAATAGAACATCAGGTTGACTTTTTCGGGAAATTACATTCTTGACTAGTTAAAATTTAATTAAACTCACCTGACCGACTATGTTTAGAGTTATACATCAATTATGAATTTCAGGCCACATCGCCCAGTTGTACTCAAGCCAGAGCATTTTTTGTGGGGGGGTTCCGATTTCCTCAACAGCCAGGAGTCCGTCTTTGGTCAGATGGTTAAAAATACAGCTTGTCACACTGATCCATGAACATTTTTGGTAAGAACAGGTGAGTACCTATCCCGGATCCGGCCTTAGTTTTGGTATCTGGTACTCGTGGAGGCTGCCGATACCAGACACTGAAACCTAAGGCAAAGGAAATCCGACATTAAGTGCGCTAGCCAGTAGTTGGCGCTGTAATGGGGAAGTCTGACACATCAGTGAATAATCGTCTGCATCAGAAAGGGACGTTTTGTTGACAATGTTTTGAATGCTTGAACTAGCATCTGTGTGGGGAAAAAAGTGGTCTTGAACAGCCCCAATTTAGGTACACCAAAGAACAATGAGGCCAACAACCTACAGTACTTCCATTACCGGATTAAATACAGCAACAATATGCGTGCGCACGCGTGCACACACACGCACACACTACGAGCCTTCGTGCATATTTGAGAAGATTGTGAATTATTCAGTGAGGCAGCACACTGCAGCCTAGCGTCACACGCACACAAGCTCACACGGATGGCGACGGAGCTTCGCAGGACTTGAAGCGGACAAACGCACTTCAACATTGGCAACGCTCACACACAAACAATTTTTGGCAGGCTGATAGATGGCACTGACAAATCAATGACTCTTGTCTTCATTGTCCTTTAGCATACACACAGGCAAGGGCGATAAATGACGGAAGAGGTTAATGATCAGTTGAGCATCAGGAAGGTGTGACGCAGTGCAAAGTACAAAGGAAGATGACGGTGACTTGACGAGGCGTCTGTGGACACGGGTAGTCTCCAAAAACAAAGTGATTGCCAAGTGCCACTAAAGAGGGTGCTAGCATGACCTAAACACACTCATCCAAGCAGCGAGACACGCAGGTGCCTACACCTCCCTCACCCCCAGCCAGCATCCACGCACGCGC